ATTGAAATTAAATAAATATGTATCGGTTCATGATGGTTGACCTCATTTACCTCATTATAATCAGTGCCCTCCACTACAGAACAGCAAACTCACTCCTAGCATTGACATCTACTAGTTGTATGTTCGAGATTGCAGAAGAAGCAATATAGAGTTAATGACTGTCATAATGACTGAGATGCAATGATGACATCAGTAATTTTTTAGTAGATCTCTTTTTGGACACAAAAATCACCACCAATATGACTATGTGTCTTTAAAACTATATTTATGTATATACATATATATACATATTTAGGTATATAGCACAACCAAACCTCTATTGTGAGTATAAACCTTTATAGGTACTCCAGAGCAATGGTTAGCAAACTATGGCCCATGAGCTAAATCCAGCCTCACATCTGCTTTTGTAAATAAAGTTTTAATAGAACACAGACATGCTAATTCAGTACTATATGGTCTATGGCTGTTTTAATGCTATATAGCAGCAGAGTCAAGTGGTTATGACAAAGACTGTATGACATGCAAAATCTAAAATACTTACTCTCTGTCTCTACGGAAAATGTTTGCTGACTCCTGATATAGATTGTAAATGAAAGGTCAGCAGAATACATGTGCATTTTTTTCTTTTTTTATTGCTAGAATGGGTTGTATGAAATGGGATCAAGGAGCTGCTAATTGTTGGGACCAACGTCTCCTCCCTACAGAGCTAGAAATCTTGGCACTGTGTCATGTCAAAGGTGAAAAACAACAAATGAAGTTCATTTGATGAGGTTTAAGAAATGTATTTTCTAGCGCATTTTGAGGTGTATCTAATCTTTGGGTTGTAGAAAATGACAACGTGTTTCAAAACAGTTGAAAAGAACGTTTTAATCTGTTATGTTCATTAGTATTTTATAATAATTTCAGAACTATCATCTAATAAAGTATCATAAAAGACTATATTGAATTGCAATAAAAAGTTTTGAGTCCATCTGTTAACATTTATTTGTCTAGTTATTGTGGATTTCATGCTCATAAAACTATTGGTAAAACATATGATCATTTAAGTCATATTGCCTCATAAATTTTGGCCAGCTTATTTTTCGTAGACCCATGTTGGGGTTTACTCCTTCAGCTGATTTTGGTTTTCATGGACATTAAAAGATATGCTACAGAGTTTCTCTATAATTTGCCGTTTAATGAGTGTCTTCATCACGAATGATGGAAAAGTGTATAAGGAAGTTAGTATGTTCGCTTTGAACCATGACTAAGTACCTGGTACTGGACTTGCCTTCCTGTCACAAACGAATAAGAAACTAGAAAAACTACTTAAAGCAACTGTTTTCAGGCAATGATAAACAGGCAGCACGTGACTGATCCATGAGCGCAAAACACGCAGGTGAACTCCATAATCAGGAAAGAGACACTTAAGTAAAGTGGTGGCCTTGCTGAGTTGAGGAGGAATTTATCAGAGTTCAAGGCTGTTGGAATGGCTGAAATTTTGTAGGCTAGAATATCTGAGCGCTCTCTCTCTCTCTCTCTCTCTCTGTGTGTGTGTGTGTGTGTGTGTGTGTGAAAGAGAGAGAGAGAGAGGAAGAGACAGAGAGAGGAGAGCGAAAGAGAGAAGGGGGAGGAGGGGGAGAGAGAGAGGGAGAGAGAGACGGAGACAGAGAAGGGGGTAACACTGAAAGCTTGTATGGAAATTCACTGAGGATACAGATGTGCCAGGCGAGACCTTGCAAGACTTAGCAGAGCTTGCCTGCTGTAGGGGAAAGGCTGAAGAGTGATACTAAGGGTGAGGCAGTGCTGGAAGACATTAGATTTCCAACCTAGCAGTGGAGTAACTTCACTAATACCTTGAGCACTTAATTGAGAATCCAGAACCAAGCCTTAGGAGAAAGACCCATACAAAAGAGTAAGGGGAATATGCTAGGACTAAATTTAAAACCAAATAAGACTTATACTGAAAATGAATAATACCAAATTTCACATGACCCAAAGAATCCACCACTAATTAAGCTGCATGCCACACAAAACATAATATAATTTAAATAAGCCAACACAATCCAGATTCCCTATAAATATCACTACAAATGTCCAGTATACAATTAAGTTTTATCAGATATCCACAGAGATAGAAAGATGTGAACCATAAGAGAAAAGGCAGTCTATTAAAAAAAATGTCTGTGAGATGATCCAGATGTTGGGATTAGCAGAAAAAAAATTTAACCTAGCTTTTGTACTTTCAAGGACTTAAAGGAATAGAGTCATAATAAATGGGATATCAGCATATAAATGAAAACTTTTTTTAAAAAAGACATATTTCAAGAACTAAGAAGTACAGAATTTGAATTTAAAAATTCACAATATGGGTTTATCAGTAGACTGGACACTGCAAAAACAACAAAAAAGTTAACTTGATGATAGATCAATAAAAGTATTCAGTCTAAAGCTCAGGAAAAAAATGAACTGAGTCTTGGTACATATCAATATGGAGTGGTCTTACATACATATAATTGGAGTCCCAGAAAGGGAGCAGAAGCATAATTGCACAGAAAAAATATTTAAGACAATAATGGCTGAAAATATCCCAAGTTATCATAAAGCAAATGGACAAATCTAGGAAACTCAGTGAATACCAAATAGGCTAATTACAGAGAAAATCACACCTAGACACATTATGGTCAAACTGCAAATAACCAAGTATTGGGAAAGAAAAGTTTTACAGGCAGTCTGAGAAACGTAATACATTATGCATGGACAAAAATAATAAAGTGATAGCTGACTTCTCATCAAAAACAAGAGGTTAAAATCATCAGAGGGCTTAAAGTGCTGATGATGTATAAAAACTGCTAATCCAGAATCCTATATCTAGAAGAAAATCCTTCAAAACCGAAGACAGAATAGATATTTTCAGATAAATAAAAACAGAAAATTCAACACCAATACACCTCCACTGTAAGCAATGCTAAAAAAAAACTCTTTAGGATGAAAGATGACATACCAGATGGAAACTGAAATCTGTAATGTTTTAGTTATCCTTTTGATATAATAGATTTAGTAACTTAAAATAATAATCATTTATTATTTCTCCCTATTCTATAGCTTTGCTTACCTGGATGATTCTCCTGCTCTGGATATTATTGGCTGGGGTCACTCAGGTGGCTGCACTCAGCTGGGTGTTTAGCCAGGGCTGGAACTTCCAAACTAGCTTCATTCACATGTCCGGTAGTTCAGCTGTGTGGCTGAAATGGTTGGGATGGTTGGCTGAAATGTTTTTCATTCTTTAGTAATCTACTCTAAACTTATTTATTTGTTGGCCAGATTTCTAGAGGATAAAAGTAAAGGTGTATGGCTTCTTAGGGGCTAGGCCTAGAATTGGTATGACATCACTTTCACCATGTTTTGTTCATCAAAGCAAGTTAAAAAACCAGCCCAGATTCAAGGGGTGGGAACATAGATTCTGTTTCTTTTTTTCTTTTCTTTCTTTTTTTTTTTTTGAGACAGAGTCTCACTCTGTCACCCACGCTGGAGTGTAATGGTGTGATCTCGGCTCACTGCAACCTCTGCTTCTCAAGTTCAAGCGATTCTCCTGCCTCAGTCTCCCAAGAAGCTGGGATTACAGGTATGTGCCACCACGCCCAGCTAATTTGTGTGTGTGTGTGTGTGTGTGTGTGTGTATTTTTAGTAAAGACAGGGTTTCACCATGTTGTCCAGGCTGATCTCGAATTCCTGACCTTGTGATCCACCTGCCTTGACCTCCCAAAGTGCTGGGATTACAGACATGAACCACCATGCCCGGCTGATTCGATTTCTTAAAGGTAGAAGCAACATGCACATACAAGAATGTGAATACTTTTTGACAGCTATTTTTAAAGATAATTCACCACAAACAGGAAGAAATGAAAAGAACTGGAAATAGTAAAATGTAGGTAAATACATAAAAGGTAATATATATTTTTCTTCTCTTAATTTCTTTGAAATACATATGACTAAGGCAAAAATAACAATGTGCATAGATGTTATATATATGACAACAAAGCACAAAGGACTTGGGGAGGTGGTAAGTAGAACTTTACTACTGCAAGGCTGTTTTATTTTACATGAAGTATCATAATTTTAACTCTAAGGCTGTGATAAGTTAAGAATGTATATGATAATTCTCAGAAACACTGTAAAGCAATAATGCAAAAAGATATAATTAAAGCCAACAGAGGGATTAAGATGAAATACAAAAACATTAATTAACCCAAAAGAAAGCAGAAAGTGGAGAACAAAGGAATACAAAACTAATGGGACAAATCAAAAACAAATAGCAAAATGATAGACTTAAACTCAACTATCTGTTGTCTGTAACAGAAGCACATTAAATTAAAAAACACAGGTTGAAAGTAAAAGGATGGATAAAGATATAACAGTAAACAGTAAGCCAGGAAGGCTGTAGTGGCTATACTAATATCGAATGAATTAGACTTCAAGATAAGGAGTATTATCAGCGATGAAGACATTTCATAATGATAAAATGGTCAATTCATCAAGAAGACACAAGAACCACAAATGTTTATATGCCCAATAACAGAGATTCAAAAATGCAAAAGAAAAGCTGACAAAACTAAAGAAAGTGGCAAATTCACAACCACAGTTTGAGTTTTACACTCCTATCTCAATAATTAATAGTAACACTACACACAAAACAATCAATATAATATAGAAGATCCGAAGAAAACTATTAACCACCTTAATCACATTGACCTTGATGGACACAATGCTCAGTAACTACAGAATACTTATTCTTGTCTACTGCTCATAGAACATTTACCAAGATAGACTATATTATGGGCACAGTAAGTCTCAAAAAACTTTAAAGTATCAAAATTTCAGAGTTTGTTTTCTAACCATGGCAGAAATAAACTGGTAATCTCCAACAAGAGTAGTCATAAAAAAGAGAGAAGATGCAAATGATCAATATCTGTGTTTCATTTATCTATTCCTATGTAAGAAATCAGTGCAAACTTCAGTGACTTAAAATAACAACTGTTTTATTGCTCATAATTTTGTGAGTATAGGGCTGAGAACAGCTTACCTCTGCTCCATGTGTTGTCAACTGGTCTCGCTCATGTAGTTGCATTTGGCAAGTGACTGATTTAGGATACACAGTCTGAGATGAATTTCTTCACATGTCCAAAACCAAGGTGCTGACTGTTGGTTCCACGTGGCCTCTCTTTCCCTGTGGTCTTTCACACTCCAAGGGCTCTTTCTTCACCTGGCCACTCTCTCCAGCAGGATAGGCTGGTCTTCTTTTTGTAGCTACTCAGAGCACTGAAACATGAAAAAAAAAAAGAAGAAAAAACTGTGTCTTTGAGGATACAGTCCCTGGGGTGGAATTCTAGCCCATGTATTTTAGTTTTCTCTATATTATTTTCTGAGATATTTTTGTTTTTATGCTTTCATACCACATTCCTTTTTTATTCTTGTTAGCTGTGATATAGGATAGTCTATTTATGATGAAGTCTCTTCAACTGTTTGGCTGTGTGAAGTTTGTCCTTTAACAGATTGTACAGGAAGCGTTCATGGAAATAATATTCCTTAAATGACAGTTTGCAACTTTAAAAACAACATAATTCATCACCATATTAAGTTGCTCTTTAGTACAAAACAATTGTTAAGAACATCTTTTTCTTAGGACATGCTTTCTTATAGATTGAAATCTAGAAAAGTCTTTTGCATGCTTTATGTTTTCATATTTGTCACGTCTTTTTTTTTTTTTTTTTTAGACGTGGTCTTGCTATGTTGTCCAGGATGGCATCAAGCTTTTGAACTTTTGAGCTCAGCGAGCTTCCTGCCTCAGCCTCCGGAGTAGCTAGGACTACAGGTGCTTGTCACCGCAACTTCCCTCCTTCCTTCTTGTTTATGCTATTGGATGTGATCTAGTTGATTTTTTAAAATCTCTTCTCTCCAACACATTTTCCGTCAGAATTGTCGCCTGGGAAAGAAAAAAGGTAGGTAGGGCACATTAAGTTATTCCCATTGTTTCCTACTGCTCCTTAGAGGTGTTTGAGAACTTCAAGGAAAATCAGAAAGTTCTTCCTCACTTTCGGGAGAACATAAACTTTTAGCCATGTAAAATAATTTCTGGGCTGGTTTTGGTGAATTTATACCTCAAGCCACTGGGAGAAAAGTAGCCAGACTAAGCCTCTAGTCAAGAAAGTAATGATTATGTATGTTATTTTGTGTGTGCTCTCCTGAACTATGCATAATTTATGTTAGCCCTGCTGTAGAGTTAGAGCACAAGCTTGAGTGAGGACTCAAGAACTAATGACAGAAAGAGCAGCAGAAAGAACTTTTCTTGCAAGTCCTTAACTACTGCATATTGTTTATGAAGACAACATAGAATCAACTATTTGTAGCATTTTAAGGAATCCATGTACAATTTTTTTTTTTTTTTTAAAGACAGGGTCTCATTCTGTCGCCCAGGCTGAAGTGCTGTAGCGTGATCACAGTTCACTGCAGCCTCCTCCTCCCCGGGCTCAGGTGATCCTCCCACCTCATCCTCTCGAGTAGCTGGGACTAGAGGCATGCACCACCACCCCAGCTTATTTTTTAATATTTTTTTTTGTAGGGACGGGGTTTCATCATGTTGCCTAGGCTGGTTTCGAACTCCTGAACTCAAACGATCCGCCTGCCTTGCCCTCCCAAAGTGCTGGGATTACAGGCATGAACCACCGTGCCCAGCCTCAAACTCTTACTAGACCCTTTAATTTCCCCTCTGATACTCTGATTCTACCCAAATTGTTCACCTTCACAGAGGAAACTCAGTGGTTCGTGGGGGAACTTATTATTTGTGCATCCTCATTTGTGGACAAAATTCTTTCTTGCTGTGACTTGAAAGCAGCCTCCCTTTAGCTTTCACTTATTAGTCCTAGTTCTGTTCTCTGCTGCTAAGAAAAAAGGTCTGATTCTTCTTTCATGGATCAGCCCTCCAAATATTGGAGAAGCACACCGCGTTTCCTTAACCGTCTTACTTTTGACCCATATTTCATTTGTTTGTCTCAACGTCCCTCATGCAAGTTGAACCAGACGGGTCCGCAGAACAATTTTTGCTGAGAAGGCAAAAGAAATTCTCGCCCAAATTGTGGAGAAGGGAGTCGAACCAATTAAACCCAAAGCTAAAACTGTAATAGAAAAGAACTTTCAAGCTCGCAATGAACAGGATATGCATGGATTTGTCTCGTCACAGCCACTAGCCACGCCTCCACTCGTGCAGTGCGCCTGCGAGCCGAGCAGAAACCAATGGCCCATCGTAGTGAATTTCTCGGGTAAAGTGACATTCTGCGCTTTTGAATGCTCCCTTCGCCCAGCCGCCGACCCCTCGCCCCAATTTCCATTTTAAATGAAAGTCTCCCACTTTCTAGCTGAGTCAGACAAAAATAAAGCTCGGGCAAAACTAATCGGAGAGAGGCAGTTCACTGTCACTTCCTGGGTCACTTCCAGAAGTCACTTCCGGGGTCGAGGCGAGGCCAACAATACGCCTGCTACCGCAGGAGTTACGAGCTGGGCCGCGCGCAGCCCGAATGCCTAAACCAGGTTTTGCGCATGCTCATATAAAGCTCTCCTAACCCGTCTTCCGGTGGGAATTTCTTCACGTGGTCCGGAGTCGGAGACTGAGTTTAGCTTTACTGAGGAGCTCTGATTTTAAGCCGGTAAGTGCCGCAGATATCGTCCGTGGTTCCTGCGTTTAAATGGGACGGGAAGGGGTGTGTCAGGATTCATCCATGTTCTCCTGATATTTCCTCCTAATACCTGAAACCCTTGGAGTCTGAGAACGAGAGAAGGGGCTAGAGAAGCTTTGGTTGCCGTGGCAACTGCGGGACACCAATTTGGATTTTTGAGGATTTGGAAAGGGAGGATTTGTGTAACTACTCCTCAAAATACATGATGAGTCAGATTCAAATTCATTTGTTACTTATAATTCATACTCGTAGCCACAGAATTTGATTTTAGAAGATTTTCTCTGGGTGTAATGCGGAGAAGCAAAATCTGAGCCAGGGTAATTATTTAGAAAGCTAGTGCAGTAATCTAGGCACTGTTTGAAGGGGTCTTGAACTAGGGTAGTGCTGTAGGATTGCAGAGAAGAGGGGAAATTGGGGAAATTTGGGAGGCAGTATCAGGGGCACTAATACTCGATTTCATATGGGGAATGAGGAAGGGGCACTGAGCATCTTTAGGAGTAAGTCCAAACTCAGCTTGGCTTATGATTATTTTTTTAGGTTCGTTTCTCACCTTCCGCACCCTCCTCCACACACACCCCGACTTCTAGTCATGCGAAGTAGTTTAGTGTTCTATTTCCTAGAATAACGTCCTCACCTTTATTGTGATGTTAGGCAGGTTCTATCATTTCACTAAGCCCCTCAGTTTTTTCAATCTTAACATGGAAGAAAGTAATAGTACCCACCTCAGGATTGCTGTGGGGATTAAATTAGATAATTTATACTTCTGGTGCGTAGTAAGGGCCTAATAAATATTAGCTGCTAGTACTATTCTTATTATACTTCTCGTATTGTTTTGTTATACATTTTGCTGTTTCTTCGTCTAGACCTGAGATTTTTTTAAATTAGAGGGGCAGTATCTTACTTATCTTTGTATAGACTTGAAACATTAGTAGTTCGGTCTTTTTAATGTCTCATTCATTTTGGCTGTTGCTGACATAGTTAAATTCATTTTTTACTTTAAAAGAGCTGACAGGTATCATGCATTTTGCTGATCAAATTGTATTTATTAGATAAAAAGATAGCTGTTTTTCTGTACAACTCAGAAGACTGTGGATTAAGATGTACAGGAAGTAACTGGTATCTCAGTTTGTAATAGGTATGAGTGATTTCAGTGAAGAATTAAAAGGGCCTGTGACAGATGATGAAGTGGAAACATCTGTGCTCACTGGGGCAGGAATGCATTTTCCTTGGCTTCAAACATACGTAGAAACTGTGGGTAAGTAAAACAGTAACATTGAGCCATTTTAACTTAAAATGTAAGGAGATGGTAAGATTCGATATGGATACAAAATCAATAACCAGGCTGGTTTAATTTTCAAGAGGAATATGTGGAGTGTTTTTAGGCTGTAAGCCAAAAAAAAGTGTTTTTTCTTTTAGAACTCTTTGACTTTGGATTAATAGTAGTCTGTATTATGCTAGGTACACATTTTTTCCAGTAATACTTACTGAGCACTTTTATTTCTGGCATTGATTAAATATTGGGGAGTCATAGATGAAGAAGATATGGTCTCTGCCATTGAGGAAAACATGCCCAGGAAGTGTTCAAGAAGTTGCTGTTGAATTGCATTGAAATTATTTCAAATAGAATTGATCACGTAATAGATTTTTTTTTTTTTTTTGGAGACAGAGTCTTGCTCTGTTGCCCACACTGGAGTGCAGTGACTAGATCTCGGTTCACTGCAACCTCTGCCTCCCGGGTTCAAGTGATTCTACTCAACCTCCCAAGTAGCTGAGATTACAGGTACCCGCCACCACGCCTGGTTAGTTTTTGTATTTTTAGTAGAGACAGGATTTCACCATGTTGGCCAGGCTGGTCTTGAACTCTTGACCTCAAGTGATGTGCCCTCCTCAGCCTCCCAAAGTGGTGGGATTACAGGTGTGAGTCACTGCACCCGGCCTAGATAAAAGAGCATTTTCCCTCATTTTTATCTAATGTAAATGCAAGCATGTTTTTCTATGGGATAAAATTTCCCCCATTTTTATCTAATATAAATGCAAGTATGTTTTTCTATGGGATAAATTCCCTATAAGAATTTATTTAATATAAGTATAAATAAAAGAAGCTATTATTTGTATGCTGGCGTATTGAGTGGTTTACATTTGGGATTACATTTGAACCAGCATTTTACTTACTGCCCTTAAATATGTATTTTTTTGCCCAGACTTTTTTCCCCTTGACAGAGATTCCTTGGCTCCTAAAATTTCGCTTCCATTTTTTCTTTCGATCTAAGTATCATCTCATTTAATGATCTCAGTAAATTCTCAATAAATTTTTGTGCTAGGCAGTTTAGGTAGGAGGAAACTGAATCTCAAAGACATTAAATTCGTAAGTGGTGGTATCAGAAGTCAAATCCAGGTTTGTCTGATCTCAAAGCCTACACTTTTAACCACTGAGATATATTTTTTAAAATGAGACAATATATGTAAAGTACCTAGCATAGTATCTCATGCATAGTGAGTGTTGAAAAATAATAGTGCCTTTCCTCTCCTCATTTTAGTTTTGCTAGATTAATGCACGTGGCTTAAGGCAGATTTGAATGAATGATACTTCAGAGATAGTGCTACTTCATCCCTGGTAGGGAACTAATAATTTAAATTTCCTATAGTTATATCATACTTGGGTATGTTTCTGTTACCAGTGTTCTATAGAAAGTCTGAGTCAGTCTGCAAGCAGATAGGTTTAAGACCAAAATTTACATGCTTAGAAATATTTTATATGTCATGGATAGCCTGTTAAACCCAAAATACTTTTGGTCTGCAATGAGAAAATACTTGGAAGTAATATTGACATTGTGCTGGTAATTAACCATAATAGGAAAACAAAATTGCCTAACAGTTGCTGTATTTGTTTTTTATGCTGGTAGGTATCTTTTGGCATTTTGAAGGGCATGCCCAGCAAGCCCCTTAGAACAAAAACTTTGAAGACAGGGCCAGTCTGGATTGAAGCTGTATGATGAGTACCTGCAGTAGTGCTTGGCACACAGTGGTGCCCAAAAAATATTTGTTGACAGACTGATAAGTTTCCAGATTCTTTGACTAGCATATTAGAAGTTAGGTTGATGACACTAGTTCTTTATTGTACGTCTCCATTCCATGTAAAAATGTGTTTTCCTTGACAATTTTTTTTTTCTTAAAGTTATCAGGATCAAGTAAGACTATCTTTTGCTCATTAAAGAATGAAATGAGAAGAGAACTTTTCCTGAGGTAACTAGGCTAGGTTGGAAGACAAAAGTATTTTCCAAGCATTTAGGTATAGTTATCTAAAGTCGATTTGTAGTCTCAGTTGTGAAAGCTTGAGCGATAGAAGGGAGCTTAGCCTGAGAACAGTTCTCTCCTTTAGGTAAATAAAAGATGTTTTAAGGATGAGGTATTTTGTCAGTTTACTAGGCTGGCTGGCTGGTATTGCCACCGACGCTGAGCAGCTTTGGTGTGGGGATCTTATAAAATGCAGCTTCTGATTCAGAGAGCTGGGCATAGTACTCTGTAGTTGTAATGAGATTCCAGGTGATACTTCTGCTGCATGTTCCAGGACCACATTGAGTAGCACGGGCAGGTCCCCAGGTGATTTGTATGTACATTCAAAAGTCTGAGAACACTAGCGCAGTAGTCTTCAAACTTTTCACTTTTGTATTCCCTACTTTTTTCTGAAAAATTGAGTACTACCTTGCACAGTTTTAAGGAATCATCTGAAAATATTTTATTGTATGTTTAATATTTTCAAGAGATGTAATTTCCAGCACGTTGGTATTTTTAAATGAATATATATTACTTTATATGTGATGGAGTCCAGATAGCATAGGAATGACATACAGTTTTAATACCTTGCATTATCCATTTAAAAATTAAGAAAAAGTTTTTAATACATGGAATTTTATGTTCCTTTTTGTTGTACTTCTTGCAATAAAAGTTATGTATCAACATTTATACTTTTTTGTGTTTATATCCTATAAGTTTTAAGAATTAAAACTTTTCTAGGTTGAGACATTGCTATCATTAATAGTTAGTTGTACATAGCTGATCAATATAACATGTATTAAAAGTGTTGCTGGCCAGGTGTGGTGGCTCATGCTCATAATCCCAGCACTTTGGGAGGCCAAAAGAAAGGATCACTTGAACCCAGGAGGTCAAGGCTACGGTGAGCTATGATTGTGCTAGTGCGGTCCAGCCTGGGTGACAGAGCAAGACTCTCTCTTTTTCTTTCTTTCTTTTTTTTTTTTTTAAATAAAGTTATCTAAAACTTTTTCCCAATTTTTTTTTATATATTTGTGGGTGACTTTTATGTATTTCTAGGATGAGAAAAGATTTAGCATTGATTATGCTATTTTTTTTTAACTGACATAAATTCTGAGAAACCTTAGTCACATAAGAAGATGGCAGTGAATGGAGTTTAATTATAGCCATGCATCAGGTCCTTGAATTTCTTCTAAATTATTCATGAAAAATTACATGATTTATTGTAAAAAATTATGTTTTGATAAGCAAAGAATTGGGAATTGCCTGACTTGCCAAAGGAGATGTTAGAGTTACTTACTTTTTCAACACCTGTGTTTTCACCTTCAGATAATATGTAATGATTTTGATTGTGAAGCTTTGACTATGTAGGCACAGCTGTCTAGGAGATTAACTTGTGGAAAGGGTATGTAAGGAAATCAAAGATCTGCAAGTTAATTGTTTTAAAAGTATCTTTGCAAAGTACCTTTGT